AGTTATATTAGAAGACAAGCAGAGCTTTAGCTAAATGATGACTATAAAAATGGTACCCAACATGTCTTTGAATTGTTGGATTGTCTTGCTCTTCTAGGTTTATCCATGAAAACTCATGATCCTATATATTATAGTCTCTAAAGTGACACAGGATTTCTCGTTGTTTTTAAAGTAACAGACTAACACAGCTACCCGCTCTGAGACTTTTTGCTCTTTTGAGTACAAGAATAATCTAGCATGAGTGGAAATTAATAGGATTTGATTTGCCTGCAGTATTTCAAAAAATAAAACCACTGTGAATATTGGGCGTATAGGAATTTGCCACACTGGATTGGACTCTGATATAGGAATATAAATATCTCCAAATCTATTTTGTTGCTTTTTAATGACTCCCGCTTTTTATTATGTATATAGCAAACATGATTCACCTTCATTTGAAAGCTTTTGACTAAAATTAAATTGTGGGACTCACTTGTGTGGTGCCAAGAGAAAGTGGAGAGAAGGGATTTAGGCACATAGGACTTCATTAAGAAGTCATCCTTCAGCTCAGTGACAGGGAAGGTTCTGCAGTGCTTTGTGTTCTAATTAGACCTTTTCACATTGAAAGGCAGGTCTTGTTAGTAAAAGCTGCTTTGTGGAAAATTTTTTGGCTGCGTCCACTGCTCTTCCTTGAAGGCACACATCACAGATCTTCTGACTTGATTTCTCTTTTTAAAATATCCCCGCATTTATTAAAACTAATGATGAGTTTTTTGTAGATTTTAAGGTAGGTTTAGTAGGGTTTTTTTGAATCATGAGATGGTCTTGTGGTTACAGCACAGGCTGAGAGTTATGAGATCTGGATTCTCCACTGTGCTCTGTCACAGGATTCTCTACTGTGCTCTGTCACAGGCTTCCTCTGTGACCTTTGAGAAGTCACTTTGAATCTCGTTGCTTCACTTCTCCACTTTAGCAAAATGGGAAGAACACAAACCTCAGAGGGGTATTGGGAAGCTAACCTAATTAGTCTTGTAATGTTTTTTTGAGAGTCTTTGATGGAAAGGACTATAAAAGTATAAAGTAAAAGTTAACATATTCACATATGTTCCCTGGTACTATATGGGGTATGCATTTGGGCCACTGCTCACAATTCTTGTAATATTTGGTATTAATTCCCAGCTCCAGAGCCATGTGATTAGAGAGGAATTTCAACTTCCACTTAAAAATAAAATAAAGCTTCTGGGCTTCTTGGGTGTGGAGAGAAGCTTAAAAATATGATTCAGGTGTAACATAAAATCTTGAAATCTAAAGGTAAAAATAACCCAAAATCTGCATCTCTTTTTAGTAACAATCTAATGCTTTTTCAGCCAAACTTATGATTTATAGGGCCAGACCCATGGGTTTTAGACATTTGTGGCTGATAATACTGTGCATTTAAGTACCATCTCTTTTTAAAGCCGAATCCTGGGAGATAAGATGAAAATGTTTTTGTAAAGTAACAAGCAAATCTTAATATAGTCAAGAATGCGGAACTGCCTTTAGAAAAATAGGTTGGACAGCTGAAGAGGAATCTTGCTGAACAGGCTAAAGATGCTGAGCAACTTTTGTGGTTACATTTTTCTTCTCAAAATGTTAGGGTGGGGATGTACCTGGGCCAGTCACTCACCCTTGTGTTTCTTCAAGAACTTGAGTCAAATCTGTCCTGAGCCAAGTGACTTGAAGAAATCTAGTTTATACTGAACTGGAAAAACACAGCTGTAGACTCTTAGTCAGGTGGGGTTTTTTAAGCAATCCATTTGGCATCAGAGGACTAGGATATTGTCGTGAGAAGAGTGAAACTCTCACAACAGGATTGGACACATGTTGAATTAAGTTGAATCTCTGCACATGGACAAAGTTAGGTTGGTTCCTGTTTTATCCAAAAGGGGTAGAAAGAAAAGACTCGTGTTTAGACTTCTCTCTCCATCTTCTAGAATGCAAAAGATTGAATAATTACATTTCTCTTAGAAATTGAGAGAGAGAGAGAGAGACTTTTAAAGCCAGATACAATCAAATGAAGGCTGAACAAAAATCTGGGCCATGTAGATGAACAATTTGCAAATTCCCATGGAACTGCTGTCGTCGATTTAAATAGGGAATGAGTATATTGAAGTCATGTCCAGCATCTAGACAAAAGCTTCTAACTTCAGCCTACAGTGCTGAGCATGCTCTGCATGGCCAGTCAATTAGAATTTACATAACCCTCTCCCTCTGCCCCAGCATAAAATAAAGACAGTTGTAGAGAGAAACCCAGAGCTTCCTAGGTTGGATATTAGGATATTAGGAAAAACTATTTCATTAAGAGGCTGGTGAAGTACTGGAATGGGTTACTAGGGAGGTGGTGAAATCTCCATCCGTAGAGGTTTTTAAGTCTCAGTTTGACAAAGCCCTGGCTGGGTTGATTTAGTTGGGATTGGTCCTGCCTTGGGCAGGGGCCTAGACTTGATGACCTCATGAGGTCTCTTCCAACTCTGATTCTAAATAATCCTCTTCATTTTATTGTAAGTAGTTGACTTTAAAAAAAAATCTTAATTTTTCCCAGCAATGCTCTAATGGTATTTAGCTTTATAGTTGCCTCCTTTAAATCAAAGACTTGAAGCACTGTTGAAATTCTTTCAGTGCACAGCCTAAAATGTTAGATAGTAGTAGTTTGTTCATTCTTATAAACACCTCAATAGAGAACTAGTTGTTGACATAACTGTTCACAGGCGTTTATTGAAAAATGTGTGAACAGTTTATACATTTTTAATGCTAGATCTTTTCCTAGAGATTGTGGGCAACCAAATAGGCATTAAGGGACTGACTCTCAAAACTATACTGACTTGTGTGCATGGTTAGAGAGAGAGCACAATAGTATGGTGAGATGCCAATAGCTGCCTTCATCATAACTGATCATTTCCATGAAACACTCTTGACTCTTACAGTCATGTTGGCTGTGCATCTGCAATTAATATGAACATTTTTGGAAACAACACTTTTTTAAAATAACGGTTTAACCAGGGAACCTGAATTCTAGTGCAAATATGCACCTTCTCCCATAGTAATTAATCTACCTACTCAGAGCTGCAGATAGTATTCTTATAAAAATCCTTTGGAAACAGGAATAACTTGTGTCTGTAACCTGTAATATTTACTAGCTTCCTCCTTTTTAGAACACCAGTGAACGTGTTGCAACCTATGCCAAAAACCTATGCATACAAACACTTCTATTTTTTAAACAATGTAGCTGTTGAAAAATTAACTTTGCAAATTGTAGTACCAATCACATACCAGCAGGGGTCCCTCACTCACTACTGATATTTAGTGATATTTCTATCTCTGATATTTAGGTCTTCAGTTTATTATAAACAAAACAAACATGCATTTTTCAAAGTCTCAGGTCAGGTACTTTCTCTGGCCTCTGGATCTAATGTCCTTGCTTTCTTTAGGGGATGGGAAGGGATTCCTATCTTTCCTTCTTGGGGAAAAAAAGAAGAGAGAAATCCATTCTAATGCTTTGGTTGAACTTGATCCATAACTTGCTGGTAGTTCATTCTTTGGTTTCAGCTGCTTCTAAGCCTTCATGATAATGAGGACTACCCATATATAAGTGTCTGGCATTTAAATAGTTGCATCTTTTGTGAAAGTACTACTTTAGATGGCCTGTCGTCTTAGAGGCACATTGGAAAATTTCCCTTCCTCTGTTTCATAATGTAAGTGCTTAGTAGTAACTGAAATTATTGTAAAAATATCTAATGTACTTTCCCAACTTTTTAATTCTTTCATTTCAACAATGAAAATAGCCCATATTCCACTTCCTTGTTCTGAGCACTAGAAGGATGCTGGAAAGTATTCAAGACCCTGAACCCATAATGATTTAAGCACATGCTTAAATAAATAATTCCACTGAAGTCAATGTGATTGTTTGTGTGTTTAGAGTTAATTATGTCCTTAGGCCTTTGCAGGATTGGAACCCATATTTAATATCTGTATTTAAAGACTGACCAATCTCAAGTAGAACTTGATTGTGGAACTCACATGGCTTTGCCTGTCCAAACTGATATCAATTGTGCTTGCTTCAAGCATGTCTGACCCATGTTTTAAGTAAGGTTTTCAGTACGCTGGGGAGGGAGGGGCTTTGCCTTCCCAAACTGCCAGCCTGGCCTCGCCCACACTCCGCCCCCAGAACACCTACTATAGGCATTCTGGGGGTGGAGTGTTGCTGCCCTGGAGTGTCCACCCTCCCCGGACTCCGAGGTCGCGGAGGCTCGAGCTGTGTGTTGCCTGTCGTCCCTGTGATAGGAGCCTGGATTGTGCAGAAGGGGCAGGGCTGGGGATGGGAACTTGCCTCCCCCAGCCCTACATTCAGTAGCCACCCATGATTTTTAAACACTGTTCTTTTGCTAATGAATATGGGGCCTGAAAGGATTTCTGCCCCTAAAGAAGGGTTGCAATAAGCAAACTATTTCTCTAGATATAAAAATCTTCAAAAGTTAACCACAGTCTGCATGAGGTTTGATATTTATTGCTGTAATCCATACTAGGAGGATGAGTCGTCGTACCCCAGTTTGTTACTAGTCGACTGCTACCAAAAAGAATTAGGTATGTTCATGGAAGATAGGTCCATAAATGGCTATTAACCAGGATGGGCAGGGATCATGTTCCCAGCCTCTGTTTGCCAGAAGCTGGGAATGGGTGACAGGGGATGGATCACTTGGTGATTACCTGTTCTGTTTATTCCTTTTGGGGCACCTGGCATTGACCACTGTTGGAAGATAAGATACTGGACTAAGCCAACCTTTGGTTTGACCCCGCATGGTCATTCCTAGTTTCTTAATGGTTGTTTAGCTCTTGTGGTAGAAGCTCATTGTTCTAGTTCTCAAGGTCTAGGATTCAAACCTACAGTCAACCTAGTGGAGTCATTACACTGAGACTCAATAGCTGAAGCAAACACTAAGCATGTTTTAATCACTGATGATGAATGTGTCTTCCTTCTTTTGCAGGTTTTTATTTCTGTTAATTGCCTCAGCACAGATTTCTCCTCTCAAAAAGGAGTAAAAGGGCTGCCATTGTACCTTCAGATTGATACCTACAGCTACAATAACAGGAGTAACAAGCCTGTCCACAGAGCCTACTGTCAGATTAAAGTTTTCTGTGACAAGGTAAGGTCAGGCCAGTCTGCAAACCAGGGCTTGGGGAGGGCTGTCACTCCAGCTTTTCCTTTCTGAGTCTAACACATGCTATTTTAGTCAATCTAAAACCTCCATGTGTGTTTAGCATTTATAAGGAAAAATTCCTTAGCTTCTGTGTGGGTCAGAGATGCTGAAGTAACTTCAGACAGATTTGCTGCCTTCAGAATCCTGGAGCGTTGATAAATACTTTTAGGCACAGTGAGTGTTGGCTTTGGGAAAGGTCAGACTGGGAGATGACTCTAAATGCTACAGTTGCCGTTATTTCATACTTGGTTTTCAGTTCAAACTTGACATTCTGTTGAGTCAGGGAACAAACAAGTCTGTTTTTACCAAAATCGCTAAATATGTGCCCCACCACCAGATCCATATTATAAGCAAGGTCAGGATAGTGTATTAGACCCCTGTGAAAATTTTATCTTAAGTGACAGAGATTCCCAAATCCCACAGACTTTCCTAAGCACATATGTTATTTGAAAATAGACATTTTCCAAAATGGACAAGGCTTGGACCAGAGTCACAGTAGGATTCTGGCTCTGCCCAAGTCCCATTGCAGGATCTTAGGACACAGGTAGTGAGTCCTTCCAGACGGAACTGTTTTTTGTGTAAGTGGAAGAGAGGGTTGGACTCAAACTTGTCAGAGCTCAAGGAAGTCTGTGGTGGAGGAAAGATTTGAACTCAAGCTAGTGCCCTAACCCCTGGCACATCCTTCCACAGTCAGTTACAAATGAAAGCAGAGAATTCCAAATGCTTTTAATAAGCCAATTAATAATAGTAATATGGCAAATTCATACTATGCTCCTTGTTTCGGAGCAAAATGTTTTGGTCTGCATCATACGTTTCAGCAAATCTAGTTACAGCTATCTCATTTATATTATTTATTTCACTTTTTCATTCTGTCTTCCGTCTTTACATGACTCTTCCCTGTACACTTGACCTGCATTATGTGAAAAAAAAAAATCTGTCAGGATTAATCCAGGACAATATTTCTGGGTGCAAAGAAGTGCCAAATTGAGGATCTAATTCCTTAGTGTGATTTTTTTTTTTTTTTTTTTTTAAACACATAGACAATCCCTCAGCCAGATTCTGAAATAAACTCATATATGGAACAAGTCTCTTGTCAGTAAAAATCACCCAAATATTGGCTTAAGCTCTGTTTAAATACCATAAAAATAGACTTGACCAGTCATCTCTATTAGTTGTATATCTCAACCTGCCTCCATCTGACTGCAAAGGGTGAATCTTTAGTCATCTTATCTCTCCTCCTAAGAACTATTTGTCAACAGTGGCCAAGGCCTGAATCTTAAGTGATCCATATATCTTGGGTATTTAAGTGGCCACCCTTACTCTAGTAACTTAGTGTCTCTCAGTCTTTAATGTGAGACACAAGGTGAGTGAGGTATCTTTTACTGGATCAACTTCTGCTGGTGAAATACAAACGTTGGAGTTTACACAGAGCTCTTCTTCAGGTCTGGGAAACTAACTCCGTGTTACAGCTAAATACAAGTGTTAAGCAAAAATAAACATGCATTTCAAGACATTACCTCACCAGCTTGTCTCCCCAGTATCCTAGGGCAAACATGGCTATGCTGTGTGCTATCTTTAGAGTGTTTAGCCTCACAGTTAGCCTTTATAGATAGGGAACAGAGGCAGAGGGGCTAAGGGTGCGTCTACACAGCACACTTACTTCAAAATAACAATGCGTGCGTCTACACAGCAATTCCGTTATTTCAAAATAATTTTGAAATAATGGATGGCTTATTCCCACTTCTGTAAATCTCATTCTATGAGGAATAACGCCTCTTCCAAAATTGCTATTTTGAAATTGCTGTAGTGTGGGCACTCCACGGCTGCTATTTTGAAATCGCTTCTCCCCAGGGCCATTCAAAATGATTACTCCCCAGTGCTTCCATGAGGTAGCGCATCCACATTAGGGGAGCCTGCCTCAGACTAATTTCAAGGCTTCCCTGTAGTGTAGATGCACTATTTCAAAATAAACTATTTCAGAGTATTTCTTCCAGAATAGCTTATTCTAAAATAAGTGTGCAGTGTAGATGTACCTTAAATGATACAACAGCAAGCCTGTGGTGGAGCAGAAAGTTGAAACTGTCTCTCTCAGGTTGGTGTTCTAACCATTGGGCTGTGTTTCCTGTCTGCAGTGAGGGATGCTGGTAAAATATTGTGGCGGGGGGGAGGAGGTTCGTGAGTGGAAGGGGAATCATAGGGGATGAGGAGAGCATGAAAAGAGATGTTCATGACATGCAAACTCTTCTGTAGTGGCCTGCTTCCTGGATCCTCTTACTCAATCTGCTTAATGAGTCAGCCAATGAAAAATATGCCCGTACTTTGTTGCACATGGGTGAACCCCATTTACATCAGTGGGGCTCTGCATAGGCACCCAAGTCTGCCTGTGTGCAGCAAATTGCAGGATCAGGGCCTAAGATAGTGTCTGAGGATGTTATAGGTTCTTCTTAGGCCTATATATTATAAAATAAGGAAGAAACCTCTCATTCTGTCCTTTATACAGATCCTTTAACCCTCGGTTATTTCAGTTCAAAATCTGCAGCAAAACTTCACTGTGAAATAACTTCCCCACCCTCCCTCCCCACCCTATGCAGTTGCATTGTCTTGCCAAATATTCAAACAGGGCTTCCAGCTAAAGGGAAGCTTTTCCATGGAGAATGGGCCTGTATACTCCACTGTAATTAAACCTCTGGAAACCCAGGCATTCTCGACTAGCAATGATCCACTTCAACATACAGCTGAAATGAGCTAAAATGAGTTGTCCGTGCACTTCAGGAGCACTGTCCTTGTAACACGCATATGTCATATGTGTTAGGACTGTATGTCTTGTCCTGTTGCTTACTTACTAGATGCTTATCTCGTTATTTATTTAATTCGTATTTAATGAGAACTAATACAGTAAGGCCATGCCATGCACACAATACCAATTTGTTCTATTACCCTCCTTCTTGTAACACCTTTTAGGTACTTGAAGACTGCTATCATGCCCCCTCTCAGCCTTCTCTTTTCTGAACTAAACAAACCCAGTTCTGTCAGTCTTCCCTCATAGGTCATATTTTCTAGGCCTTTAATCATTCTGTTGCTCTTCTCCAGGGTTTCCACATCTTTCCTGAGATGTGGTGCCCAGAACTGGACACAATATACTTGTTGAGGCCTAATCAGCGCAGAGTAGAGTGGAAGAATCACTTTTCGTGTCTTGCTGACAAATCTCCTGTCAATACGTATCAGAATGATGTTAGCTTTTTTTGCAACAATGTCACAGTGTTGACTCATAGTTAGCTTGTGGTCCACTATGACCCCTGCATCCCTTTCTGCAGTATTCCTTCCTAGACAGTCACTTCCCATTTTGTACGTGTGAAACTGATCCTAAGTGGAGTACTTCGTATTTGTCTTTATTGAACTTCATCCTATTTACCATGACAGAATATCAATGTATTCATACTGCTTGTTATCTCAGTACTAACACATTCGAAGCCTTAGAACAAAGATGTTGGTCGCTGCCTTGAAGATCTTGACATGTCATATTGGGTGATCTTTTTCCCTATTTTGATTAACTATTTCTGGAGTTGGCTGGAAATGTATTTCTGCAGCTTAAAAGTAGGCTAAAGTAGTTGCAACTATTTTAACCAGAAAAACTAAATTTCTACTGTTTAGTGTGACTTGTCCAATTCCCCCATTGTTAGAGACCCAGTGATGTTTAGAAGCCAATCCGAGTTTTCTTTGTACAATGCAATTCACCAAATCTTCCTCCTCACACCAAAGTTTCCAGTGCGTACTATATTCTGGGTAGGCAATGAGAGTAAGTGTTTGGCACATGCAGATGAGCATAGGAAAATTGACCCTTTCCAAAGTTAATAGTTTGGCCTATATCCGGTTTACTCTTAGGTTTTAGTCTACTGGAAGGAGACTCCATACTATCTCACTTTGAATTGTTGCAGTAGAAACTTTAGCGGTGCTACCTACGCACTCTGTGAGAGGCTCCTACTGAGATTAGGGCCCTGTTGTGCTAGGTCCTGTAGCATTAAAATATGCCTTACAGCACTTACAGTCTAAATCAACAAGACAGCTGGAATCTGGGACAAAGTAAAGAGTTATTATCCTTGTCTCCCCAAATTGAGAGACAGACTATAAGTGATTTGTCTCAGGATCACACTAGAGGTCTGACAAAGTTGGGAAACGAATTCAAATTTAATTGGGTCCCAACCCAGAGCCTTAGACAAGCAGTTCTCAAACTTCATTACACTGTGCCCCCTTCTCACAACAAAAATTACTATATGACCCCAAGAGGGGGAGACTGATGACCAAGCCCTGCCATCCCAGACAGAGAGGCCAAAGCTGAAGGCTAAGAGGTTCTGCCTTGGGTGTGGGAAGGAGGTAGGTGTGTGTGTGTGTGTGTGTGTGTGTGTGTGTAACCTTGGTCCTGTATGGTGGGACTTGGGCATCACCCCTGGAAAGAGGGGCTTGGGCAACCCCATTAAAATGGATTCATGACCTACTTTGTGCTCTGGACCCACAGTTTGAGAACCCTGCCTTAGACCATCCTCCTTCCTAAGATATCTGCACATTGACTGGCTGCCTTTTTGATCGCATTTATTTTGAGGGATAGGAAATTCTGTAAATGTGAGGCATGTTCTGCTTCCATCTGCTCTGTATTGGGTGATGTTGATCCCATAACTTCTAGCACTGTTATAAAGGATGAAAAGTGATGCTTGTGTTACTTTAGGCCTGTGAAGATGGCCCAGTTGCTGCTAACTGAGATTCTTCAACGTGCCAGTATGTCTTGCACTATCTTTGTAGAACTCCAGGTGACCTGAATTTAGTTTGATTATAGCACCAAGAATATTTTTTGGTTAAAAGTTCAAAAAATATTAAAATCAGAAAAAAATGCAGTCATCCCTGTTTTAGGTCTTAGACTCTCCTATTCTCTGAGGTGTCTGGAAATAACTGTAGTAACTGAGAGGTAGTTTGCCATTTGATCCCAGTCCATTCTTAAAACAAATTCAGGTGATTGTGAACATCTTCTATTACATTTGATGTAATGGCAGTACTTCAGAATAAACACTGGACAGATTTCAAAAGACGTATTTTCTAACTAACCTGATGAAGTGGTTAGTGTGAGACTGACCACAATGTATTCTGCTTTATAAATATCAGTGTCCTTGACCTGAGAATACAGAAACAAAAAACGGAAGATTCTTTTTTTTTTTCTTCCCAATATCTCATCTGACAGGGAGCAGAGAGGAAGATCAGGGATGAAGAACGAAAACAAAGCAAAAGAAAAGGCAAGTGCACTGACCCCAGCTCCCAGATGAATGCCTGTAAGTAGAAATTATTCTATGAAGTTTTTTAAAATCTTAGGCCTCCTTTCGCTCACAGACTACACTTTGTTTTCTGTACTATGGAATTCTCCTATAAAGGAGTAATTGCTTGCCTTTTTTCCCCCTCCCATAAAACAGCTTCACTTCAGTCCACTGTATATGGGATTATGAACTGTATTTTGCAATACACAAAATAAGTTAGGGACTTCAATTCTTCACTTGAAAAGAAACTCTGTGTTCACTATTAGTGAACTCCATGGTACATCCAGTCTCTTTATGCAGCTAGAGAAAGCAGAGGGAGAAGGCCAGCATGAAATCACACTTGGTACTTGCAATCTAAGATGGCAGGTGTTGTGGAAAGCACTTTACCAAGTTGGGTGAACATTTTTATTCCTGTTTCACTGAATGTTAAAGGCCTGGTTTTGAGATTGATGGAACACCTGCAAATCCAGGTAAGTCAGTAGGAGCTGGAGATACACAGAACCTCTGCAAATCTGGCTGAAGTGACTTACCTATGGCTGTGCAGCAAATCACTGACACAGTCTGCAATACAAACCCAGATCTCCTGATACCCAGCTTCATACTCAACCCATTAGAGCTGAGCATCCCCTTTCTAGTCCAGTTAAACATTGTATCTGTGCATGTAAAAGTAAGCCCAACGGGCTTGGTGCTGGAGTGAGCAAAAGGATTTTTAGCTGTATCCTTCCAAATGTGTATGATTTTCATTCTTAAGGCTCTTCTTCAGATCGTACTGCTGTGTCGACTCCTACAGAGCTAATGTTTTGATGGTCGCTTGTGTTAACAGAGTTGTTTGGTGTAAAGTTTCTATCCCAATTTTTCCTTGTGCAACAAGAAGTGTGTGTTTCCTGTGTCTCTTCTGGGCTGTTTGAAGATAATGTTACAACCACTTCATGTGTTTGTCAGAAGCTCTGCTTTTAACAATTTGATTGGTTCAGCAAGCATTAACCTCACAGCTTGTTTAAACAGGGCATCCTGACATAGCCAATGCAGGCTGGTGGCAGGGCTTCAGGCTTCAATGACACAGGGAATCCCAGTTGCTTCAGGGCAGGCACAGGGAGGGTGGAGCGTTCATGCTCTCTTTCTCTTTCTCTTTCTCTTTCTTTATATGAAAATTTTCCTGTGGGATGACAGAGGGATGTTCTCACATCACTCTGCGTCCCATTGTCTCCTCTGCCTTTAGACATCCTGCCTCCTCCCTCCCTTCCCAGAGCCATGCACCCTCCCCTGCCCAAGGAGGGGCAGGAGCAGGCACAGGGAGGGTGGAGCGTTCATGCTCTCTTTCTCTTTCTCTTTCTCTTTCTTTATATGAAAATTTTCCTGTGGGATGACAGAGGGATGTTCTCACATCACTCTGCGTCCCATTGTCTCCTCTGCCTTTAGACATCCTGCCTCCTCCCTCCCTTCCCAGAGCCATGCACCCTCCCCTGCCCAAGGAGGGGCAGGAGC